TTATACTCAATCATACAAACCAATCTTGTCATATTGGACTCCAAAAACCCTACACAAGCTTATTATGGCTTTCCTAAGTTTTGTATGTGAGGACGAAGTCCCTATGAGTTTTTTTGTTTTGCATCTACTCTACTTTAGCAGCCAGGATAAGGGTTGCATTTCTCTTTCATATACTCAGTCATACACACCAATCTTGTCATATCGGACTCCAAGAATCCTACACAAGCTTGTTATGGCTTCCCGAAGTTTTGTAAGTGAGTACGAAGTCCCTAGGAGTTTATTTGTTTTGCATCTACTCTACGTTAGCAGCCAGTATCCGGGTTGCATTTTACTTTCTTATACTCAAATCTTACACAACAATCTTGTCTTATTGGACTCCAAAAACCCTACACAAGCTTATTATGGCTTTCCTAAGTATTGTAACTGAGGACGAAGTCTCTATGAGATTTTTTAGTTTTGCATCTACTCTACTTTAGCATCCAGGATCCGGGTTGCATTTCACTTTCTTATACTCAATCGTACACAACAATCTTGTCATATTGGACTCCAAAAACCTTATACAAGCCTATTATGGCTTTCCTAAGTTTTGTAAGTGAGGAAGAAGTCCCTATGAGTTTTTTAGTTTAGCATCTACTCTACTTTAGCAGGCAGGATCCGGGTTGCATTTCACTTTCTTATACTCAATCATACACAACAATCTTGTCATATTGGACTCCAAAAACCCTACACAAGCTTATTATGGCTTTCCTAAGTTTTGTATGTGAGGAAGAAGTCCCTATGAGTTTTTTTGTTTTGCATCTACTCTACTTTAGCAGCAAGGATCCGGGTTGCATTTTACTTTCTTATACTACATCATACAAACCAATCTTGTCATATTGGACTCCAAAAACCCTATACAAGCTTATTATGGCTTTCCTAAGTTTTGTATGTGAGGACGAAGTCCCTATGAGTATTTTTTGTTTTGCATCTACTCTACTTTAGCAGCCAGGATCCGGGTTGCATTTGACTATTTTATACTCAATCATACACACCAATCTTGTCATATTGGACTCCAAAAACCCTACACAAGCTTATTATGGCTTTCCTAAGTTTTGTAAGTGAGTACGAAGTCCCTATGAGTTTTTTTGTTTTGCATCTACTCTACTTTAGCAGCCAGGATCCGGGTTGCATTTCACTTTCTTATACTCAATCATACACACCAATCTTGTCATATTGGACTCCAAAAACCCT